GTAATTTGAAGAATCTATTTATTTCGTATATTAACTGTAATTTGAAGAATCTATTTATTTCGTATATTAACTGTAATTCGAAGAATCTATTTATTTCGTACATTAACTGTAATTTGAAGAATCTATTTATTTCGTATATTAACTGTAATTTGAAGAATCTATCTATTTCGTACGTTAACCGTAATTTGAAGAATCTATTTATTTCGTACGTTAACCGTAATTTGAAGAATCTATTTATTTCGTATATTAACCGTAATTTGAAGAATCTATTTATTTCGTATATTAACCGTAATTTGAAGAATCTATTTATTTCGTACGTTAACCGTAATTTGAAGAATCTATTTATTTCGTACGTTAACCGTAATTTGAAGAATCAATTTATTTCGTACATCAGGAATAATGGTATGTCCAAAACAAATAGGATAAAGGAAGTTTTGTCAAAATGATTTATTTAAATCATTCTTGTTCTACTTTTTAAACATATATATTGTATTTAAAATAAAAATTACGTTTTGGTAGAATTACTTTTCCTGTTTAAGAATTTAACCTCTCAATCTTTGCTACTACCATGTACTACAGAACGTCCTCTAAACTGAGTAACACATTACAGTTTAGCTAATTTAGGTCATTTTAGTGCTAGCTTGCTAATTTACAAGGTTAAGAAAATATTTATAATACCTTCCAAAGATAAAATCGTCTGCTGAGCAAGAGGGAGAGTAGGAAAGAACGTGAAAGCATAAATAAATAAAGATAATTTCAATTACTACAGCTTGGCATAGCCATGAAGGTTTTATAATGTCACGGCTAATCCCACTATTCGTTGGCAAAAGAATAGCTAAAGAGTTAGTTTTGCCTTCCTTCTAGTCTATCACTGATGAATTAAGGATGGCCATGAGTTAAAGCTCAATATTTTAAAATGAAATAGCTTTTTTTTCTGTCATCAGATAGAGCGAATTTCGGGTAAAACGTTTTATTATTTAAAAAGCACCAAGTAAAACGCTTCAAAGTAAACATAAAATGTTGCTCCTTTTGTTGGTATATTTAGAACCAAAAGTACTTGTGGTAGTTTTTAATTTGTACGTTTTTTTTTATTAGATTCTTACTTTTTTGATAGTTTAAACGTATAAGAATATTAATGTCATAAATTGCCCATTAAAATAACAAAGATTTCATTGTAAAAGCTGTTTCAAAACTGACAAAGTCAAATATGCGTAACACCCTCTACTTAATCTAAATAAACCTTTTAACAATCAGAATGTTGGATTAACCCTAAAAACCGCTTAAGCGTTTAAACATTCAAACATTTACTACCAGTTTAAAAGCATCATTGCTCAACATTGCAACCATCTTGACCATTCTGATTCTCCTAGGTATTGAAATCAAGTTAAATTGGAAAGCAGAAAAACAATAGAAAAAGTATGTTGGATTACTACTTTGAACAGTGGTCGTCCTTATGGTAATCGTGATTCTAATGTTAGTAACCTTCACACTGGTCATCCCTATGATATTAGTGTCCGTGAAATATTTCTTTGTCATTAGAAAATTAAACTTTTTCATGAAAACATAGAAACGGATAAACAAGGTCAAGAGCAAGGTCTACCAATCCGTTCACAGACTTTACTGTTAACCATAAAATGGGATTTTTTCGTTGACGTAAAAGTATTTTTAAACATCTTTAGTTGTACCCTGTATAATTTCATTCTCCTTAAACACAAGATTAGAACAAATAACAATGGTTTCTTCTAGAGCTAATATATGAATATCAAGATTATTAAACTGTATCTGTTTCAATTCATGGACAAATTCAAAGTTATCATAAATAGAATATTTATTCTAAACAAATTCTTTCAAAACAGGGTAAAAAATCCTGCTAGTGGTTGATTATAGTCATTTACACTAAAAAGAATTGGTCTAACTGGATATCTCTTTTTGCTAACTTTAAGGAGTCCATATAAAACCATACAAAGGAAGTCGCTCACAACAACACCGCATATACTGTGTATTCATAGCCACTTTTTAAGTAAGTCATGGACATTCGTAGAGTTTAATTTAGTATATCTATTTAGGTTTTGGTGCAAAATACCCAGCCGATTTCTGCAATGCTTGAATGGTTTCGAAGAGCTTATGGCGGTAGCGAAGAAGAACTTAGAAAATTTTAGAGTGTTGAAATCTTGACTTTCAGGAATCAACTTAAAAATAGCCCGACAATCTTCGCAGGAGTTTGTTTAGTAGCTGTGCATGAATTTTGGTGCAGTATACCTAACTGTTTTTGCTGTAGGCTTTAGTGCTTGAATGGCTTTGAAGAAAAACTTGACCAGTGGCGATAAAAAACTGATAAAATCTCTCCTTCTCTTTCAAGAATAAACATAAAAATAGTTTTATGACCTGAGCAGGAATATTTTAGTAGGCTTGCCCAGGTTTGAATAAAAAATTCAAAGTCGTCTTTTCTGTAAGCTTGTAAAACAACAATAATGATAATATGAAGAAGAAATGGATGAATTTTGAATTTTGTTTAACAATCCAAAAATCAACTTTTTTTGCTATTATCAATATTTTAGCAGCCTTAGCCATTGAGGAAAAAGGTCTTGAGTGTTGTTTCAAGAACAAGTCGGCTTTTTGAGATGGTTTTTGCCCGTGTGTTCTATTAGAATTTTTGAGAAAATTCTGGGCAATCCCTATTATGAATCACTATCGTGGTTCATGATAACGTTAGGCCTAATTGTTAAATCTTCTTTTCTAGCATTAATTATTAGATGTACCATATCCATCATTAACTTGTACAAAATATCTACTAGGTCTAGAGTCTGTAACGTTTACTAGACCTATTTGCAACACCTTAATGATACTGATTTCATGTATTACTGCAGCACTTACATAAAAGTTGACCAACTGAGATTTTCAAGCTACACAGAATATCTATGCATTTTTTAGCGGGACTTTTAGCAGAAATAGTGTAGTCTTTATAATCTACGAAAAATCAATTCTATGTTAATTATTACTCTAACTGTCTCACAGGCCTATAGCTGCCTAAAAGCAAACACTGTATCGTAGTGTAGCTTTCAACCCCAATCTACAAAAGTATTTCAATAAAATTAATTTATATGTTGCCCCATTACACCTTCCTCTTTAATTACAACAGTGTAAATAATGTTTTGAAACATCTTAAGGCTATAAGCTTGGACTACGTAAAACGTACGTTCTCTAGGCATATTCAAGTGCCATGACTGTTGTCTTTAGTTTGTTTGTTTGTAGTTTAACCATAAGGCTACACAAAGGCCTATCTGTGCTCTAACCACCACGAGTATCGAAACGCGGTTTCTAGTTTGTAAGTTCGCAGATATACCGCTGTGCCACTGGAGGGCGTAGTCTTTAGTACTTTACATTTTAAAGCAACCTGTTCGATATTTTAATACTAGAAATAAACGACCATATAACACCAAATTGTTGTTTTTCTTTAATCAACTGGACAATCAACGTTTCGCTTTACAGCTTCTTCAAAGTGTTCCGCTAAAACACAAACCGTAACTGTCAGTACAAAGCTTCAAATGAAGCTTACACAGAAGACAACTTCACCAAGTATATTGTTTAACGAATGCAAGAAGAACTATGTTGTACCAAATAGTATAAAAGTAAAATGTAATTTAAAAGACAATAGGGTAAAATTTATAATTAAATAAACTGAGTTTAAAAGTATTATCAAGGACAAACGGAGTGAAATTGCAAAAAGTGAGACCAAACTATTCTATGTACTCTTAAAATTAACTAGTAATATAAAGAACTTGTTATGGGATAAGCTTGAAACATCTAGTTATTGGATATGGGAAAAGGCAAAACTGAAACATAAGAATAATTTGAAAACAAAACTGAATAATTCAATTAAGAAATTCGATTAAAATTACTAGATTACTCAATAACACAAAAATACTAAATACTAAAAATATTGCACAGAACAAATTAAAGTTAGTGATCTGGGTTTGATTTTTTTCTATAGATAACAGAAAGAAGGTTTAATTGTGTTAACTGAAACAAGTTTGAAACAATTTAAAGTTGAGGACAATATTGTAAAAGATACTGTTCGAACAGCAGTAGCATAATGTCTAGCTTGTGATACTAAAAAACCAAAAAGTAACTTGTATAATTCGCCTAATTTAAAAACAAAATAAAAGCATTATTTCTAAAAGAGATAAAGGAGAATACGAGGCCTGTGAGAAAAGTATCCGACCTTTGGCCGAGGAATAAAAACTGGCATACCTGGAGCGTGGGAAACCTAATCACCCTCAAAGTAGTCTCCTTGGGCCTCCACACACTTCCCCCAGCGGTGCCGCCATTGTTGGAAACATTCCGAGAAAGCCTCTTTCGAAATGGAGTTTATCTCGGCTGTCGTTGCAGCCA